AAAAAAAAACATCCTCAAGGCTGCTGTATAATTAGTTTTCCCATGGCCCTTGGGTTCTATTTTCTCCAAGCACTGACTAAACAATTTATCTTTTAGCTGTTTAGCGGATGATGCTGTAAATATTTTCCCAACACACTAGTGTTTGTACAAGGAAGGTCCTCTGAATGGTTAATTAGTTTGCATGCTGGGAAGAAAAGCTGTGTGCTAGGCAAAGCCCATTAATTGCCTAATATCTGACCTCTAAATGATAAAATATATTTATTTTATAAAGGCCAGTGGCTTTAGTCTTTGCATAAGTGGGTCACTTCTATTTGCTTATTTTAATTTAGAGTAGTATAAACTCCTATTTGTTATCTCAAAGTGATGTATGCTAATCTAGTTAATAACAGATAAGTAGAGAATAATAATTCTGACTACATTTCATAGCTTTATATATTTTCATCATTAGAAGAAAATACCTAAACAGTACAATTTTGAAAATGTTTAAATAATTAGGAATTTTACACATTGAACATGTCCTTGCATATTTGGTATAGTTCTGCTGAAAATTTCATACACTTAGTGGCATGCATAATGGAAACCTATCTTGTTCTTTAGGTCAGAAAACCTTTGCAATGTGTGCTCTTGGTCAGCACTGTGTTACTTTTAGGGGCTCTAGAAGATCATTTATTTTCTTACCTCTTCCATCCAGCTTCTCAAGGCTGATGGCACTTTTCTCCCACTTTCAAAATAAGAATGTGTCAAGCCCTTCCATCACATGACTCTGACCTTCTCTTCTGTGCCTAGTCTATTTTTAACGTCTCTTGTGATTAGGTCTGCTGGACAACCCAGGGTCATCTGCTTTCATGATGTCTGCCGATGAGTCAGTTCAGTACAGTCTCTAGCCTTTACTCTCCCTTTGCCGTCCGATCTCCATATTTATAGGCTTGGGAAATTATCCCAAGAACATTGCTGGATAAAGGTGGCAATGTGTCCTCTTCCACACACCACATATCCAGCTGCCAAAACGTTTTTACAACTGTAAACTTTACTAGTAAGGAAATTAAGCTTCAGGACACCAGACCTTTTCCCCTGGTTTTCTGGTGCCAAACGGTATTTTCTCAGCAAAGCAAAAGAGATGCTAGTATAACCAACTCTAAGCCATGTGCCCCAAATTTCATCTTTCTCTAAGCTTCAATTTTTTTTGAGTGTGCTCTTATTTTTTCTTTTTCTCTTTGAAGAAATCCTCTACTTAAAGGATTGCACTTCTTGTCTTTTCTGTTTCAAAAACGTCTGGTGAGAGAAATGATTCAAAGAGATCAAGCAAGTGACTTCTTTTAGAAACATAAAAGATAATATAATAAAAATAACCTTTTAGACAAAACCCTTGCAGTTTTCAAGATTCTTAGAATGTAATCAGAGCCTGGGAAATGCTAGAGGCAAGGTCACAGTATCAAGCTTCAGTATAGATGAAGTCCTTAGCAACTGGTTTGGTGTCCTTTCCCATAGAGGACTATGATCCTGACTATTTTGTGGATGAGGAAATGGAGGTAGAAAGGTGCCATTGCTTACTGTGTGATCCTTCAGCCCATCTTAGTTTCAACCCTAAACCTCTGAGTCAGTGTTTCTCTCTCCAGGCTGAGATTCCTCCCTGACTTCACACCCTGGTGCTCTGCTACCTTTGCCCATTCTAAGGAGTTTGCTTTGTGTAGTGTCATCTGCTACCTTCTGGTTTGCTTTCTGAAACAGTGACAATGCAAGTGAATTAGTTATTTGCTCAGTGTAATAAGCTAGCAGCAGGATCTAAAATTGAACAGAGTACTACATTCTTAAAAATAGGGTAGATTTTTATCTTTACCATCCTACTTCTAGCAAATGCAGGGAATGCATGGGGGTCTTTCAAAGTAGAAAGAAAATGCAACGACTTCAACAACAACGTAAGACATTCAGTCAGTAAATATAAAAGACTATGTCAGTACAATACACAGAAAAAATCCACGAGCGAATAAAGAGTAGCTGGGTAAAGAGTGTACACGCCTCTACTACATTCCTCCTTGGTAGGCTCTGCTATCTTAGCAAATTTGTACTTTCTTTTGTGCTTAATTTTGCCTGCTAAGTACCATTGATTGGGAATATTTCCTTATCTACTTCATAAAAATTCCATCGATACCACCAAATACAACTTAGGTTTCTCTAAAATATTTTTCATATGTTAGAAAGGAAATCCCCAAATTTGGAGTTCTGTGTACATCTTTATAGGTTTAATGTATATTTTTAGTATATTTTTAACTATTTTCACTTAGTTTTCTTTTCTATATACCTAGAAGAACACTTCATAGATTTGTACGTAATTTAATGCCTAACGTTTGATCAATAGTCAAGCTAATGTTGGGCAAGTGTAGTGTTAGTCAAATGTTCTACTGTTTCTTTTCTAATGATTTTATTTTTAAAAATAAGAAATAATTGAACAATTTCTTGATCACTTTAATGAACTTTACAAATAATGTAGAATTACATAATGTAATAAAAATTGGAAAGTATACTGTTTTTTATTAATACTTCTTAAATGATGTATAGCTTCAGAAGTCTTGTCTTTAAATAATAAATTGATTTTGAGTGACTAAATTCATTTCATAGTTGGGTAGAGAACTTTGATAGTAAATTTATGTGGATTCTAGGCTTCAGAGTAACTTGGGTATGTCAGTATCAGTGATTTTGACAAACCAGTTAACTCTTCCACTTAAATGACGTAGGAGAGTCTTCTATCTATCTGTGGCTTTCATTGGTTAATTAATAAAGAAAACTGCCTGGCCTGATAGGTAGAACATAGGTAGGTGGGGAAGACAGAACTGAATTCTGGGAGAAAGAAGCAGAATCAGGCAGAGGCAGAGAGCCACCACCATGAAACCAGCCTCCAGGTCAGACATGCTAAATCTTTCCTGGTAAGCCACCACCTCGTGATGCTACACAGATTATTAGAAATGGGTTAGTCAAGATATGAGAGTTAGCCAGTAAGAGGCTGGAAATAATGGGCCAGGCAATGTTTAAAAGAATACAGTTTCCTTGTAATTATTTCGGGTAAAGCTAGCCGGACAGGTGGAGGGAAGCAGCCCGTCGCTCCTGCTACACTTAAAGATATCACTTGTATAATGAAGTTACAAATATTATCTCACAATGTAATATACTAAACTGAAACTGTGTGTCTGGATCACGCTAAACATTGTTCTGACTACCCATCACCTTTCATTAATTATAATTTTCTTCAATATCCAATCTGCTAGGCAAAATGCCTTCATTTTCCTAAGACAAATTAAGATGGTATTTATTTGAAGTTTAGCATGCAAAGTAAAACCTGCAAAGACATTTAAGACATTATTTTGTATGGGCAGTATGGGATATCTCTTTTCCTTTCTTTTAGAAATATGTTTCTGGGAAATGACTCTCAAAGGACAAAGGTCCTAATTTCTGTAAGGCATTTTGGAAGATCCTGACTTCTATAATCCCTCCTCCTAATATTACAGCTAAGGTGTGTTGGGTACGTGGAGCAGTTAGAAGTCTATCCTTCTGACTTGCAGGGTGCTGCTGGCTGCCTCCAGCTTTGTTTGGAAGAAGATGCCTTGGAAAAGGGCTGAGTTAGCCTTTGGCCATCCGGTAAATAACATATCTACCAGGTAAAACCCTTGGATTGAACAGTAGACAGTCTAACTTCTGTGTCGAGTTTGAACTCTGTGTCTTGACCTTTGTCTGGGTTTGCCATTGCAACAGTCTTACTGTAGGGGAAATGCCAAAGAGGAAGTATATGAATCATTCAACTCTAGTATTTCCTTGGGTGAGCCTCTTTCTCACAGAGCCACTGGAAACAGTGAAGAGGAAGATCCAAGCTCTCAACTTTTTCCTTAAGCAGCAACTTAAGAAACCGTGAGAATGTCTGTTCCAAGAGAAGCGAGCTTGCCCAGCTGAAGGGTTTGCTGTGATTTATTATGAGGAATTATGTTTTGATGTGTGATTGTTCTTCCCATTTCCCTGCCATCTACGTCCCCCTTTATCTTCCAAATGATGGCTGGTTTTTGTTTGTTTGTTTTGCTGTTGTTGTTGAGGCATTATCTCATTTTGTAGCCCAGACAGACTTAAAGCACTATGGAGTCCAGGTTGGCTTCAAACTCTCAGCAATCCTATTGCCTCTGCCTCCCTAGTCCTGGAATTTCAGTTATGAATCACCACACCTCTCTCCAAATAATATTTTAAAATTGCTTTTTAAATGGCCATATTTTCTAAATTCAGAAACCCCAATTTACAAAAATGGATATCTTACATTGCTACCATCAGGGTCAGTTCTGATTAATTTTAGGCACACATTCCAATGCTTTTTCTATGCAACAATACTTTTACATTAAAGTTGAAATAATAATGAATATTCAACATAATGTACCCATGCTTTCATTGGACAAACCTATACATTCTCTCTTCAGATTTTCTCCTTTCCTCTCTGGTACTATATCACTCCATGAACATTGCAGAATTACATCTTTGATGGTGTGCTTCAGGGGACCCAGAACATTTATACTATGTGTGAAGGCTTTTCCCTAAGGAAAATCATATTCTAGGTCTCGGATGTATTTGCTTTCCTAGATAAGAAAAAACAGCCTTCGAATTATTTATTATGTTAGTATTATAATGTCAGATGATCAGATTGGAGATGTAACCAACTACATTTATGTGAGTGTAATAAAACTTTAACATGACTGGTAACTGTAAAGTTTGATCACTTCTTGGTAAAAAGAAAACCCTGGATCATAAACATCAGGCATGAACAACTGGGCTTTCCAGACCTTTTGTTTTCTGTGCTGAGAGATCCCATCATTATTCATGGCAAGGGTCAATGTTTATTTTTCTAACAAACTTTCCTCCTACACAACCAAGATCCCTTTTTCCAAACAAAATAAAAGCACATTTTGTCTAAGAGGCTGAAAATGGCAGGGATGTTTTTCATTGTTTCAGAGGAAACGCAAAGCACAAAGGAGTTGACACTAAGAAAATATAATTTTACAGAAAGTTAAGATGCAATAAACATGCCATTTGGACAACAGTCGCATGTGGCTGTCTGTTCACTAAATAACCTGAACAGTTCAGCTCTCCAGTTTAGAGACACACTGGGCTTCAGCGTAAGTCACCCTACTATGGTTGTAACTCCTGTGAACATTTGGTAGCCAGATGAAATATCCAATCAGCAAACTGGTTATCTTTGAAATAAAACGTTAGTTTAAAAGTTCATATTATTCTTTAAAAAAAAGATTTAATTTGAAACTATGAAGAAAGTATAAGACTGTATAGAAACCAATGTTCCATTTAATCTTAATTTTTTTTTCAAGGCATAAATGGTGTGTGGGGGTTTACATGCGAATTGGTAGGATTGCGACAGAGTCAACTAGGTGTAAAAACAACATTAAAAAACATTTGTTGTTATTTTCTATTTCAGAGACTAGAAATAAAAAAATTTCTGATTATACTTCTTCTGACACAATAGAATTTTATTTTCTCTCAAAAGAACAGATGCCTTCTACTCTAAGAGCTCCACCTATTGCTACAGGAATTATAAATACTTTGAGGAAATTAGCAAGTTTTTGCCCTGTCAAACATGCCTAGGAGTAACAGTATCACAGCCTCAAGCTTGCTAGAATTTTGGTCCTTGGTTTCTGGGTAACAGATTAAAGGGAAGGCAGCATTGGTACGAACTGCTGGGATCTAATTGCTTTCTATTTGGGTAAGAGAGGCAGAGGCCCCAAAGAATATACATGTGCCCAAGGTCACTTTGGCAGCAGTGGCAGAGGAGAAGTAGGAGCAGCCCTCATCTTCCTGGGGAACATCCTTTTGTATTGCACACAGACACTGTGGTATGGAAGCAGACTCGTCCCCAACATATATTGCCAGGAACTTCGTCCTCTCATCGCTGCTAGGTTACAGCAGCTCACAAGTCTTGGTGCTTCTGCTTCTAAACTCTCCCTGATCGGAACTTAAATATGGTGGGTGTGGACTTATGACTGAATTTATGTATAAAGTTTTAGGTAATGGGACAAATGGTAGGAATTAAGAGACTACAAGATTCTGAGTACCAGCTACAGCAAGTGGTGTCTGGATGTGTGAGGAATAGGGAAGCAGCTGCTATTCTAAATTTTGTATGCCCCTTAGCCCAAAGGTTTGTTCTATGTACAGTAGGGATGTAGCCACTGGAGTTGCTCTTCTATAGGAATGGGACTTGATGCTTTAATGAACTAGCAGCGGAGATGCTAGCAGCCATTTATAGTTGGTTTTTAGTTACTCTCCTGGTCTGTCTTTTTAGTTGTTATCGCAGACAGGGATAAAAATATCCCAAAGATAGCTGTTTAATTGAAATCTACTACTACCACTACAAATAATACTCACGAGTGTTTAAGTTGATGTAGAAGAAATAGTGATCTAAGTATACTGTAATTATCCGTGATAATAGTGTTTGTGGTTAGTCAGAAACTGTTTCCAGTGTTTATGATACGTTTTAAAAGACTTGGGAAAGTGATTCCACGGATGATTCAAGTAAAGATGAATATGTAAGCACAGTTCATAATGCATAGTTGTATCATTTGTAACAATCCAAAGTAGGAAACTTCTTAAGAGTCCATCAACAACAGGATGGAAGATTTGTAGTCTCACCACGTAATAGAATCCAGTTTGACACTGACAGATCCACACATAAACCAACTGTACAGCTAAGTCTTACAAATGTAAGGCAGAGAGAAGTCAGATAAGAAAGAATGCGTGGATGGCTATAAGACAAAATGGGACAAAGCTAGTACACGATGCTGGAGATTTGGATAATGCGTGTGGAGGACCAAAGTGATGATGGTGGGGAGCTAGGACAGTGTCCCATTTCTTATAGGTTGTAGCTGCAGGGCTGTGTTCAGAGGGAGACCATTCACTAACTGTATAGTTCTGTTCTATACAGTTTTATATATTATGTTGTAGTAACATTTTTTTTTTTACAGACAAATGGGCTTTTTACAAGAGGCATGAAAACCAATATACTGAATAGAAATATTCTCATTTTCACCCTTTGATAGAAAAATAAGGATTGTAGAAGTGCACCTCTTTTGTAAAATCTTAACTGGACAGCGAAATGCACGACAGTCAGCGGCAGGACAAGAAAGGAAGCGAATGTGTTTCGGGAGGAATCCTCTCAGGGTCCTTAGAATGTAGAAATCCAGTAGCTGGTCTGCTGGAGGCCTCCCATCTCTACTCAGACATGGGCTCCCTAGAACGAGATGGCTTGCACACAGGCCTAGTAAGGGGCTCACAACTTGGATTTATTACCAAAATATTTCCATTAGGTGACAAACCTGAAGAGATAAGGGCTCATGGAGCAACACAGATACAGTTAGGTCCTTTGATAGCCCCTCTTGGGGACAGACTTAATCTTGAAACTGCTGTTTGTAAACCACAGCTATGATGTATCTCTAGACAGTGGCTCAGTGGTAACCTTTGCCCTCACAGTCGGTACTTAAAGCTTCTCACCAATGATTTACAGGTTTAAAAAGTCCCAAATTTTCACCTGTACATCACATGACGGATCTTTGTAACTATCAACCTTGGCCACTTCACTTCAATATTCACTGATTAACTATAGTAATGGTTATTCAGCCATATATGTAGTTAATAATTAAATATAGGATTATTCTTTATACATCACTGCAAATCCTTTTTAAAAAAAAGACCAAGTTTGAGAGGCAGAGTGAGCAAGAGATTGCTCAAAAATTTTTCAGGGGCGGAAGAATCTTAACGTCGTTAAAGTGGATAAGAAGGGGAAGAGTTTCAGATACTCGCTTTTACCATAAGAGCGCTTAAACCAGAATGATGTTGAGCGAATGAATAACTCATGTATGGTAAAATGAGCTCAAAACTCCTTAAGCCTTAAGGCCACAGTATGCACGGGAGTTCTTTGGGAGCGCTTTGAAGGAGCATGAACGCAAACAAAAGTGCCTGGCGAGGCAAATCATTGCTGGGCTCTGGTGCCCAGCTGCATTCAACATCTTTCTCCCTTGGGTCGGAAGTTGTACTCCGCCTCAAGTGTTAACCCTGTTCTCTACGGACAGCTTTAGACTTGCTGTCTGTAAGAGAACCAGAATGAACAGTAACACTACCATTGAAAGTAAGCACTATTTACACAGTGAAGTGATTGATTTGACAGACCTTAGGCTACCACCCCCTTCCATTCACAGTGGATTCAATACTCTAATTTCACGTATGTTAGCTTGTGCTCATCTTTGTGAACTGCCCCCAAGTAGCTGCAGAAACTTCCCGGGCCCGATTTCTCTGAAGGGAGAGTTCCTGTGTCTGTGGTTTTAACAAGTCTCGCCATGGATGCTCTGCTTCTTGTGAAGATCACCACACCCGACATTTCCTTTCTGGATTCATGTATGAATTCTTGCGGCAGTGGAAGGCATCTGCAAACTCCACAGAGTTCTGCAAAGTCCCAATAATCCTTTGAAAAAAACAAACAAAAAAGTTCTCGTCAGCACTGGACACTGATTGTCCGTATCACAATGGAGGCCATAGGAGTCCTCCTATTCCTCTTGTCCTCGCGATTGGCCTCAAACTCGTATAGATCCATCTGCCTCTGTTGAGATTAAAGTCACGTAACACCCCAAAGAAAGACTAATCTTGGGGAAGCACAACTGGGAGTTGACAGTGCAGGTAGAGTCAATACACAAAGCCTCAGTTCTCCATCTCTGTTGTATTTTCCTCTTTTCCCATTCAAAACGTCTAGACAATTTTATTCTGAATAATCAGCTCAACAGCAGACCAGGGCTTTTCTTTCCCAGGCTTGTAATTAATGTTTGATGATATTTATATCATCAAATATTTGGATAGGTGACATGAATAATCATTTTGAAGACTGGGTACATTTTGAATACAATGAATCTCTTCTCTAAGAGTGAGGTCATATTTTGATAGGATTGCACACAATATTTACATGGATTTCACGCTACATTAAAACCCTGACACTTGTGTGTTTACATTTTCATTAACAGAAGGTAAAATCTTTCATTGTTTCCTTAACAGAATTCAACCGAAAATTTTACCCTATTATGTAAAATAGTCAATTGTGTTGGTGCTATTTAAGCCCTGTGAAATGATCATTTGTATTAAAAACTTCAAAAATCTAGGAAGGCAAACATCTATGTGACTGAGGATGGACGTTAGACCTTTAATATATTACTCCTAACTAAAAGCAAATGAATTAACCATTTATTTACTTATTTGAGCCAAAATCTCACTATGTAGCTTTAGCTGACCTGGATCTCTCTATGTAGATCAGGCAGGCCTTAAACTCATGGAGATCATCCTGCTTCTGCTTCTCAAGTTTTGGGATCAAAGGCACATACCATGGCTGGATAGTAAACGAACGTTTTAAATCACTGAACATTTGGTTCTCAATTAATAGGTCCTCTGACAATCTGTTATTAGTTTCTTAAAATTAATGACTTTGAATCAGATTTGGCTGGCTGCACTTATGAAGAGACTATCCAGTCTTATGATTTCCTAACTATTATGATTTTTCATAACAAAGCCATGTTGAGGAGCATATATTCTACCACACAGAATAACATGTAGGTTCATATATACTAACTGGACTGTTAGACAACTCATTAAAACCCATTCTGATAGTCAAAAAAATATCAGGAGTTGATGTTAGTATTTAAGGTGAATGGAAGAAGCATGGGAATTTCAAAGAGCAGTTAAGTCAAGCATGCTACCTTATATAGGGAAACCAAATATCTACACTGGTTGAAAATACTCACATAAAATCCTGAAAGTACTATACATGTAAACATGCTGAAAGTACTATACATGTAAACATGCTGAAAGTACTATACATGTAAACATGCTGAAAGTACTATACATGTAAACATGCTGAAAGTACTATACATATAAACATGCTGAAAGTACTATACATGTAAACTTGCTGGGATTTCAGCCCTGAAACAGCCCCTCTTCTGTTTTTGATGGTACAGCTGCTTCAGCATGAATTTATCAACCTTCTTCTATCTTGAAAATATCTTCAGATGAACCACCAAGCACCATTTTTGAATAATAACTCAAGGATTGTTTGTTTTGAAAGTTCTTGTAAAATATATTTCACTTTGAATTGTCAGGAAGCAACCCGTTTCCAAAGCTAAAACATAATCTCAGCCTTTGTCAAGGGAATCCCTTTACCTCTAGAGCAAATAGCATTTTTTTTTTGACAAAGGGCTGGCCTTCCATTTACTTCTCTTATTATGAATGAAAATAGAGATATCTTTGATGTTAGAATAAAAAAATAAAGATATAAATCACTTCAACTGTTTATACGAAAATATTGGGGTGGAGAGACACAGTCATTTACCTTGCTGGGTTACTTAGCCAACACTCATTACATCTGTTACTATGCCGAACAGAGGAAATGAGCAACCATCAGTGTGCAAGAACTAGTGTACTTCAAAATGGTGTTAAGTCTGCTACAGATTTCCTTTTTTAAAATAATTACTTTATTTTTATTTTATGTGTATGAGTGTTTTGTCTGCATACATGTATGTGTGCCATATGCATGCACTCCTGGTGTCAGCAGAAGCCAGAATAGGGCATTAGGTCTCTCAGAGATGGAGTCAAATGTGGTCCTGAGATTCCTGACATGTGTGCCGGGAACCAAACCCATGCTCTTTTCAAGAGCAGTGCATTCTCTTAACCTCTGAGCAATTTCTCTAGCCCTCAAGGTCCATAACTTTCTACATAAAACTTTCATCTATCCAGATCTTTTATTTTAAAAAGGTAATTATTTTTAAAGACATATAAATAATAGGCATTTATATCCACTAACGTGAATCTTCCAACAACTCTCTCTATAATTTAGTCCTTCTATATCAAGAAACCAAAGCCAGAGTATTAAAAAAAAAATAGGCCCAGTCAAACATGCAGAAAAACCCTAACAGAAAGCTCAGGTAAGAGTTAAATGATGCAATTGCTAGCACAGGGCTAAACAGGCCTGGGCATGCTAGCTGGGACGACTTCACGAGGTTAAGAGACCAAAGCAGAACTAACGATGGTAACAGCAGACTGCCTTATCAAAACAAAAGAACATTAATGCGAAACACTTTATTCTCCCAGGAAGGCGACCATTCAGTAGCCCCATACTACCTGACGGAAACGAGCTCTTTATAGACATCTGCTGACGTTCATAGGAGCATACAGAGCAAGGATCTGACAAACTGTTTATGTGCATTTACAAAAGTTCCCTGCTAGCCGCAGAATTAGACGCTTATCTTTTTAACTCTTGAAAACTACTAAGAACTAAAAACCCCATTTTAAATTTGTCTGGATTAATAAGCAAAGAGATAAGCAAAAGAAAATAAACAAAAAATACTTAAAAAAATTATGCTAAAAGTCTCTTGGATTAAACCATAGTGGGAATAGATCCACAGTGATGTCCCGTGGAAAGCAATTAACCCAAAGCAGCTGGTATGGATAAGTTAATTAACGGAACTAACCTTAACTCACATTACAAGGGAGAGCAAAACGCAATGAGCTGTTGCTGCATGAAGGAATTCTTAAGGCATTCCTAAAGAGGAGGTGATCTGGGGCTGGTGACAGTGACGGTCATGACACTGGGACAGACCAAGTGTATTCGATGAAGTATAAGATGTTTAAGTGTGCTGCTTATGACTTTACATTTAAGTGTCTTTCTGTCAGTAGTTGATTTTCTAGGTAATGTATTCACATTCATTTCAGGTAGTTTTTTAAAAGTTTTGGGCTAATAACTTCTCTTTTGTTCTCAAACTCTGATTTTTAAAGAACAAAATTTTTAGTTAAATTTTTTTTTCCAGTCTCCTTCTTGGAAGGTGTTATTGATCGCAAGGGGCGATTAAATACTACCGCATAGGAGAAAGGAATTGCACTGGGATGCCAGTCTCAGGGATATGAGGATCTAGAAGTCAGCATTCAAAGGCTGTTTCGAGTGACTCTCTTCTAATACCTGATCTCTTATGTGTTCCATTCTTCCACCTCCAAGAGCATTCTCCTACTAGCCTTGCTGGGCTGCTCTCTGACCTCGGAGGCAATGTACTCACTCACACCTGGAGGGTTGGGGATAAGTCTTCAATGCTGGAGAACCTCCACCTAGCAAAAGCTTCCCTTCATGTGATGAAAATATTTCCTTGGCATTTGGGACTCGCATTCCCAGCCTCTTAGAAACAGGTTCTACCAGTTGGGGGTTCCATCAAACCACTGTTAAGAGGTGACACGTTCGTTGCAATCCAGCAGGCACCAAGCTTAGGATGTATGTGTTCTGAAGGACAGGACGGCCAGAGCTGTGCTTGTGGACGCATTGCTGATGTGGTCTGTTGAGTCCTATCTTTGACAGATACGCAGACATAGACAGAGACATGCACACACAAATGCTCATACTCACGCACACACACACACACACACACACACACATATGCACAAGCACACTCACATGCACTTGCACACATGCATGTATGAATAGATACATGCATAGGTTCACAGTAGTCTTAAGTGATATAGACTAAGCTGCAGAAAAGGGCAAATTTGAAATACAGATGTAATGGTGTCAACACCAGAACAGTCCGACTACTATTCCTATCCACATACCTGAAGTTGCCGGGACTGTGTACGTCTGTTTTAATGGAATTGACTGCATATTCTGGCCTGTAGGTCCCACACCACACCTAGAAGTATAAATAAACAAAGGAAAAAAACATGCTCAGGTGTAATCATGGAGCATTGTGCGTAGGTTGGGGGGGGGAAGCAAACATTAATTTGGCATTTGTATTAAACCATTTACTCTTCAAGTAATGTTCCATGAAAGGCAATATATAAACATAATCATTTATAATGAACATAATCTGACAATCTTGTTGCAAATAATGAAAGCTAGCCAAGTCGAATGCTGCACCCCAATTAATTAAAAGAAGAAGAAATCACGCAGTATCCAACTTGCTATGAAATTACAACTTAAAGTGGTTTTCTCATTTATCAGTCATGAAAGATATACTACCTGGGCAAAGTTCAAGAAGAATAGTTGTTTGTGATTTAGGTCAATTCCTGGGAGTAATTTTTCTTCACCATTCTTTTTAACATAATTCTGGTAGGCCTAAGTAGTAAAATAAAAGTATACAACCTTTAAATTTGTATAAAAACCTATTGCAAAAGACCATGTAATTCATCTTTTATATCTAATCACTATAAAATACATTTAGATATGGTAACTGGTAACTCTCTCATGGATTAGCAAGAAGGCTAGAATGCATCTACAAATGGTGAGAAAGAATAAGAGACTCATTAGCTGGAGACAAGAGTCTGACGTGTCAGATGATCACACTAAGTGTCAGTTGGATGAATTGAGACTTGAACACATGATGAAAATCTTACCTTCACATTGTCTACGGATAGATGGGTAAGTCCAGCTCGTTGGAGAAATGGGTTGCCAAAGGAGTCATCTGCAATTGCTATATTTAGCTTAGTTACTACTCTTGGCAAAATAGACACACACCAGATTTAGTCTGCGTGATTCTTGCCAAAAGCTAAGGGATTCTGTTGAGATTCCTTGGGGTTTTAGTGTCCTGTGATCCTGAGGTGAAGGAGAGGTAACTACTCCGGTCCCCGCAATATGGGACAAAGTAGACTAACTTCCAGTAAAAACAGGAGAAAGGAACTTTGGCCACAGGGACATCAGAAAAGGTTCTTAAAGATTTTTTTTTTTCACTACTGAGAAATGTAGGCTTGTTCTGCTATATGTAATTTAAAAATGGATTAATATTAAACTTCCTGGGACAAGTTATTTGTCTTTCCTTAAAACATTTAAATTTTATTTATTTATTTGTGGGCAGACGCTTGAGAGGGTGCATACCGTGATGCATGTATTGAGATCAGAGGACAACTTGCAATACTTAGTTCTCTTCTACCAAATGGATCTAAAGGATTTGACTCAGGTGATCACATTTGGTAGCAAGGCAAGTGGCTTTACTCACTCAGCCATCTTGCCAGCCTTTTCCAATTTCTAATAAAGAACATCCATCAGTTATGTAAGTTAAAAACCTATTTTCTTTCTTTCTTTTTACCATCAACATAGATGAGTGAACCTTTACTACCTAAAGATTTTGGAGACAGAGGGAAGGTTTATGCCCTTCCCGCTTAGGGAGTCTGTGATCTAACAGAGGGGCAAATCATCACATGCAAAGAACTCATACGGTGTCATAAATATTTGTGCAATTGTACTTTTCGTTATTACTATAATTATCAGGCTGGTGTGGGTGAGTGCACAGCAGACTCACCTAAAGGTGCTAATTACTAACAGCAACTACTTCCCGTCAACACGGAGTGACAGGGACTGTTGCTGAATCAACAAAGCAATGGGAAAAACATACGAGACAATGGCTTGCACAACACTGAAAATCCAGTCTTTAACATCCCACCTTACAGAGGAAGACGGTCCTGAAAGATGGTTAACAACGAAGGCAAGTTCTATAACAGGTTTAGACTATTTCTCCAAGCCATAGTAAAGGGATCGGGAAATCAATGGAAGTCTGGGGTGGGGGGATTCTGAGTTGAAAATAAACTGACTGCTTTGGGTTACACAGGCCAGAATACAAAGAAAGAGAAATCATGAAAGAAGATTCCAAGATCATAGGAGGGTGCCCTTGAATAGTCATCTTCATGTTAATCTGGAGATCAGTTTCATTTAACCTGGAGATCATCCCCAGAGGATTACAGAGAGCAGTGCCTGGGCCCAGCAGGATGCGGATGGGGACACTTAAGATCCACAGGGCAGGACTTGGCTTCAGTAGGGGAATCGGTTACCTCTAAAATAAGCATGACCCCAGTTCCAACCAACATTGTTCAAACACGTCCAAAAAGGAGTAAACCACTTCTAATGAATCTAACTATAGCCTATGATATATTTATAGGAAATATAAATTCTCAAGAATATTTATAGGAAATTAAAAATTATCCAGCATCCAAAGAGGTAAAATGCACACTATTTGCCACCTAATGAGAAACATAATCATCAATTACCCAGCATTCAAGGTAGTAGCAATCTTCTATCCCCCAATGATAGGCTGGGACATTTATCTGACTTTATCTCCCAGGCCTCGTACTGGGATGATGCTTTGTTTTGGGCACACTGTAGACCCCATCAGTTGCCTCTCTGTTTTGTAGTGATGCTTCGACTTTTCTGACAATCACTACTGTTCTCTTCCCCTTTGGCCCTCAACATTGCAGTGATGAACAAATAGTCCTACTCAGTCCTTAAACATTCTACCCACCCCATCTGTTGAAAACCTGGTTCTCTCTCATGGTCACTTTAGCCTTGTGTCTTCGCAAGTAGACTGCGTATTCTCTCATGTGTGGGCTGCTTCAGAGTCAAGAGGTACACTCAAATTCATCTACATTCCTCCTCGTTGCTTCTAAAAGCATCATTCCTCCACCCTTTTGTGGAATTCCCTATTTTTTCTTCCCTACTGGCATTTGTTGGATCATCTTTTAATTCTTACATCCTCAATTACTGAAATCTTTTATAGAAGCTGTATTGCTGCATCTCTAGCACCTCAAATGGTACTACAAAGAAAGCAAAGCCCTGAAAAGTACTTAAGTGGGAGGACTGTAAGGGCCAGAGGACCCGGACACTTGCTGTAATATAATGCCTTCTAGACACCACAGGAAAGCTGTATCTTTAAAATCTACACGGTAGGGTTCCTTAAACAAGACCTGAGTAATGACACTGCCAGACGACATGGCAATGTGGATTGAAAATATTTCACAAGTCCCCTCCCCCCTACCTCAGATGAAGAGCTACAGGCAGTCAACGGCAGCCTAGGGAGGGAGAATCAATCTCTACAAGGATGAGTAATCCAGTCCCAAATGGTCAACCCTAAATCCATGCCCATGCAAGCAGCACTGAAAGGATTCCATAGCTTTTGCATGTGTGTGTGGATAATAGTAAAGAAGAGGAGGTTATGAGTCTGGGGGCGGGGGAGACACAGGAGAGGTTGAGGAGAGAGAAATGCATGAAAATGACATAAATATAGTACTCATAAGTGAAATCTTCAAAAATAAGTAAATAATCTACTTGTTGCCTGCAAGAATAAGTGGAATAAGTGTGTCTAATGAATATTCCAACAATAATAATTCTTGAAGTATAATAGTTGGGCCAACTATATGGCCATATATTAGAGCCATATCACAATCAGGTCCCTAGCTGTTTCTCAGTGAGCAGACTATGGTTAATGTTACGTTTTGGTTTATGTTGATACCACCTCCACAGGCTGCCTCACATGTTGAGAAGTCGCGGGTCTCCCTTATACTGATGAATGACCCCCAAACAATCATTTATATTGACATATTTACTAAGAAATTTACTTCAGGGATTATTTCTGTGTCTTCTAGAAGCTTGTGCATCTTCTCGTGTCCTTTGGGGTATCACTGAGTGCTTCCTTTTCCACCCTGACTTCATCGCGCCATGTCAACCCACAGACCCTTGTGACGAGCATATACACAAGCCTCTTACTCTTCACATGATTCCCACTTTCCACTCCACTTCCTGTTTACATAGCCCCTTCTACAAGACTTCAAAGAAATGGGTGAATATGATAAATGAACACTCCCTTCCCTGATGTGGGAAGAAAGTATGACTACTCACTCTGTATGCTTGGCCAATACCTCCATTGTCAGCAATGTTCTCTCCCAGTGTATTAATTCCATTGAGCTGTTTAAAGAAAGATTCTCTGTTAGGGTTTTTAGAGACAGCACCGACATTTCACTTGGTATTGCTTGTCTCAAGTTTCTCTGGAGGATGCTGATGACATACATGCTGTCCACCTGCTAGGTCCCACGTGAAGTTGCCGTACTGGTGCACCATGCACTGGGATTGGTCTTTAAAATTATTTGCAGACTGCTGAGTCCACCAGTCCACGAGGTCTCCATCTTTGTTAAAATTTCTTCCTGTAATATATTCATTTGGTAAAAAGGAAATTTGTGACAATAAAAATAAGAATAAGATTGTTTCATTATCGCAATTCTTGAAGTAGGTTTTCATGCAGCTATAAGAAACACCATTGAGAGACCTCTTGCTCGCCGCTCTGGCTCCTCAGAGCCATTTTACAAAACGATAAAATCATAGCGCGGATATTGGCATGGATACAACCCTTCCATCTCAAGATCTCTAGTTTGGGGTGGAAAGGATGAAAATACTGTTCCGTGAGTGTTTATGGAATGGGGCAGACGATGAGAGAAACTTCTAACCCCCACAACTTCTGCTTTCTTCAAGAAAGCTTGAACTTTGTCTGCCAATGTGCCTTGGAATTGATAGGTGTTTCATCTCCTTGGCTTGTGGCTACTGCAGATGAGGCCACCAGATAAGGACTCTTGAAAGCTGCTGTCCTCGATGCTTTCCATCTGAACCAGGACTCTTTAATTTGATGTTTTGAGACTTTAAAAGAGCAACACCTTTATCCCGTCTCCCATCTCTTTTATGCAAGCTAACTCCTTGTTTTCCTCTACTTAAGGCACAAAGAGAAGCACCCCTTTTCTCTCCCAGAATTTTCTTGCTAGCTTTAAACGACATTGATCTTTTCCTTTTTGTATCTCTGAATGCATTTATATACTTTATATGTTTTGACATTTAATTTTATCATGATTAAATATTTAGGATACAGTGAATAAGAAAATGGCAATGAAACAAAATTTGAACTTACATGCTGATTCTACCAATTCCAGGTTTTATAACATTACACAAACATGTTATATGCCTCTGTGTGCTTCTATTTGGAAAATGGAAATATCATTAGTCAGTGTTGGTTAAGACTGTAGCACTGACTAATTGAGTTAACAGACGTCTCACGTGTCTTTCTTTAAGGCGCTATTTTTCTTCTCTCTCTGTCTTTCGAGAATTCTGTCCAGTTAGTGTTTTGTGAGCTAAAACTTGTTACAATTTCTGTTACGGCCTTTTTACATATCTTCTGTCTCTAATCTTGTTTGACTTAATTAAAACTGTAAATCTTTTTGATCGCTTAGGGATACATATCAACATTTAAGTGCCTACTGTTTACAAGGTTCTAAATTATGTATTAAACATAAAATGAAAAAAAAGTTCCTAGCTGCAAGCAGCCTATGAACTACAGGGACTTGGATGAGTGATAACTTCAGACCTTACATCCAACGACCCTGCTCTCTTTGAGTCTGGAAAGCTAAGACACATAAAATAGGACTGAGCATCATTTCCAGTGCAGAACACTGTAGTACTTTCCCAGTGTGGATTTTTGCTTCCATCTCTCACAGTACAGAGCACATACTTTTTACTGCCCACTAATATTTTGAGTTTCTTAGGAAACACTTTAACCAGAACGCTGACTCTGTAATGAGACATGGGTCAGCAGTACACTGATAAACACATGGAGTTCTGTACTGACAAATGATAGCTCTTCAACTTAGGAAGATGTATTTCAGTCAAAGGAAAATGTTACCTATACTTTACCATTGTCATCAAAGCCATGCGTGATCTCGTGTCCGATGACCATGCCGATGGCCCCATAGTTCAGTGAGTTGGGTTGCCGGGCACTAAAGAACGGGGGTTGCAAAATGCCAGCAGGGAAGACTGAAGGAGAGAAAACGGTGGAAGATTTGGGAAGATTATCCGTGGCTTTGTCAATGACAACGTCATAATTACTAACATGTTTCTACTATGTCCAGTTCACTTAGGATAATAGATAATAAAAATCTTGTGTGACAGACACCAACACAATCATTTATTATTGATGGCGGCAAAGTGACTGAGCCAGCACTGTGCTCAACCTATGAACCTATGATTTATTCATCATTATTCACCTACCAATCTCTTTCAAGATTTTTTTTTCTTTTTTTGCTGTAAGGAGTTTGGGGCAAGGAAAACGTATAAGTTATACTCAGGAAGATCCTTCCCTTGTGTAAATATTTGGAAAGAAGAGCTACTCAATAACATACATTTCTTTTCAATGCTATCTCTGAAATTGTATCTGTCCACAATTCTACCTAAAATAAACTGCCAGTCAGTCATATGGGTCCCTGCATCACTTAATAATATTTCTATCACGGTTCCTATGACACCTCTAAATTCTGTTTATTTCCTTGTTTATAGTTGGATTTCTTCTTTATCTGATTTTTTCATTCCCATCCTGGCACCTCAAATCTCAGCCCTGTATAATCAGAGATTTATGTGTTCCTACACATTTACTTATGTACTCCTTGGTCCATTTTGCTTTTTGTCTCTAGACCTTAAAGCCAGACAGTTCTTGGAATATACTTAGCACCCAGAAAAATTTGTTGACTGAATAAATCATCAGTTATATGGATACGTATTTTCAATACAGTAAGTTGTTTATAAAAAGTTCAGTAGGTGTGAAAAATCTCCAAGAATAAGATTATTTTATTTAAAAATTTTGGTAGATAAATAATACCTTTTATGGCTGTCATAACATCTGTATTGAGTTGAAAACTTTTTCCATTTTTATGTCTCAAACACACATGAGTACACCAAACAGCAGACACTTTATTTCTCCCAGGTACCAGTTTCTTGCCTGTTATTTTTTTTTTCTAATGGCACTTATCAGAAACGATAGTGTCAACAGAGTGCAGCCCCCAACAGCGAACCTCTTCTATTGGTCTCAGCTGCCTTATGTTCTTTACAAAGTTGGCACCGCACCTGTGGGCAAACATCAGGTGCTGCCCAGCTCTAGCACGTCCTGTTGTCGCTTCTGGAGAGTTTGACAGTGTATCTTCCCTCACGCTTGTTCCCCGTGTCGACAGTGACAGAGAGAATATCCTAAGAGATATTCTCACTCCTGCCCCTCTTGCAGTCTCTCCTAATAGAATCTACCCTCTTATTCTAGTCTGTAGCCAGATTAAAGTGCAATAATGGTCATCACTATACCCCTCCTGCTAAGAAACTTTGGGAGGAAATCATTGTTCTGCGGCCAAACAGCATCTTCCGCCTCACCCTGCATGACATCATATTTTCCTGCGTCTCCTGATCTAGTCCTTTGCATTACCTTCTTACAATAAATGTGCCTGCTAAATACACTAATGTGTTTCAATTAATTTTTCTTGGGTTATATTGCCTCTATGCAATGCAAAGGGGCTATTATTTTGGGCCAATGTTGTCTAGAGGAAGTTATTCCTTGACCTTAGAAGTGGATGGAGTGAATGAAGATATAGTCTTATAATTCACTAATTTTGCCTTTCATATTTTAAAATTCTAGTACACACTAGGTAACAGCAGCATGATATTCTGGAATCGATAAAGAATTGTAAGTCATGTTAGCACACACTACAAGCAAAACTCTGGGCCTTTCCTATACAGGACATCAAGATATAAGTGAAAGATCCTGACCTTCAGTAATTAAAAAAGAAGAGAAATTTAACGTTCAATTAACACAGAGTAGCAAATATTTTCCTTCCAGGGCAAATGTGACCTAAGCTTTCATGAACTTCGGGGATAAATATTAGGTATTTACAGGGGTGGCTTTACAATACTCTAATTAATACTGTTCTTCAGATCTTTCAATAGGTTGGAAAGTTGCCATTGTCTCATTTTCAAATGACAAAATAGTAAAAATAGACCTTTGTCCTGGGAGACTTGGTGAAAGTCATTGCTCACATGCATCTGCCTGAGCTAAACAGTGCCAAGAGATTATTTTTAGCTGAAAGTTATAAAAATCATATGCAGTACTTTATTAACTTAAACTGAACATTATCTCCCACACTATGTACTTTGATTAAAATCCACCCATTATATAAAATGCTTTTATGAAATGTGCCATCAAGGCTAAACATTAACCATAGAGATGCAGCCGACTTAATTACAACCCTGGATGCCATTCTTTAAATAAGTGATGTGATTTTCCTGGCTCATATTAATACTCATCTTCAAGTTCAGCCTGACAGATTATGAACTCCCTTAACTTGATCAGCTCAATTTTTTTTTAGAAGAATCTTCTTCAATAATCTCACTGACTAGTAAACACGACAGTGTTGCTAGCCACCGACAGATCACTTCATGACTGCCAGCAAGCTGGCCAATTAAACAAGTCACTGGAACACACACACATACACACACACACAAACATCATTATTTTTACTTCCTTTCTGTCTGCACTCTTACTCCCACCCCACTAATCTCCCTCCCCCCCCGTCTTATCTAGATTTCAAGCAACTCCACTTGAAGATATCTCAAACACAGCTTAGGTTTGCATTCAGGTAAAATCTGAGAGTGCATCAGTACCAGATCTGGGAGTGTCTAGGGTCTTTCCTACATGTTGGGAGTGTCTAGGGTCTTTCCTACATGTTGGGAGTGTCTAGGGTCTTTCCTACATGTTGCTGAAATGAGATGAAAATAAATGTCTAGCTGCTTCACTTCATGGTGAAAAGCAATTCTGCTAATAGAATTTCAACATAAAGTTAGCTCATACTCTAACAGATCTCATACTGACAGAGCTATGAATATTAAAAAGAGGATTTGGAGGGGGCTGGGGATGCTGTTCATTGGCAGAGTGAATGCTAATCACTTTTAAAAGGCCTGAGGTTCAAGGTTCAATCTCCAGAAAATCTGTCTGTCTGTCTATCTATCTATCTATCTATCTATCTATCTATCTATCTATCTGTCATCTATCTATCTATCTATTTATCTATCTATCTATCTATCTGTCGTCTATCTATCTATCTATCTATCTATCTATCTATCTATCATCTCTCAAGATTCACAAGTGAAGAACTTCTAGAGATAAAGGCATTCTGAGGAAAGTTGCTGATTGGTTTTAGAGACGCATTGAACCATGACTGATCATACAGGCGCTGGGGAGTTGATCACCAAACAAGTCCTGTCTGGTTGGAAGTGATCTTTTCTCTCTTCAGAAAACATTAGGCTAGACTTTGAGCTAATTGATTGATTTTTGCTTAGCACACCTTAGCTGTTATCTAAACATAGCCTTTCTAGATTTCTTATGTAATCTATTTTTATAACATGTATCAAAATAAATTACAGATAAAATTTTGCTTCAAAGAGAGAAGTCATAAAAACACTAAAAGAAAATGTAGATAACCTCTTAATATATCTCCTCTTAGGCTTAAAAACATACAGAAAGGGGTCCTTAAACTTCAAAATAAAAAGGCAGGCTTTAAAATTTGTGTTTAAAGTAATAATAAATATCTTGAAAGGTTTTTAGCAATTTCTATTTCAAATCAGTAACAGATCTCAAAAAGGTGAGGCTTAAAACAGACTTAGAGATATAAAAAAGAATAGTTTGAAATGAGACTGAGATTATCATCCCTTAATTCTGGCCACATTCCAATAGAAAGGCCTAGACTGAGTCCCTTGCAGAGCCTGCTCTACAACTTTAGTGCACTTCCGCCAGTGTCTGGGTGGTGCCTGTTAACATAGCAAAAACTCTGGGAAAAAAATGGGCCCATTTATATGAGATTTCAAATGTGCCCAGGTATACCTGGGAAGAGAGAAAAAACATCTTTGTCTTGAGAAGTTATTAATTTATTCATCATATTTTGCATACATGTGTTGATTTTTCACCATAGCGTATGTTATTACTATTCGTGCAACAGAAGGCGTTTTCTTTCCCATTCTGAACAAAAGTCACTGGGTAACATAATTGATATGGTAGAGTCCAATCCAGTGGTTCTAGTCTCCTGTAAAAGCAGCTAACAGCGAGAATGGACTTATCTGATCTACGCTTCCTAATTATCATCTCTCACTGAGTGAAGTCAGGAGGAATTCTGCTTGACGGTTTGCTCATGCAGACTCAAGCTCAGCTTGCTTCTCATGTAGCCCTGGCTCACCGGCCTGGGGATGGTACTGTCTATATTACACTGGCCCCACCTACATCAATTAACAATCAAGACAAACTCCCCACAGACATATCTCCAGGCAAAATTTGAGTGAGGCTTTCCTCTCGGATAACTCTAGTCTCTGTCAATTTGACAGCTGGAGCTGTCTGGGGCACTGATTTTTTTTTTCAGCCTTCTGAATTCCTTGGATGCTTTGGAATGAAGAAAAGAATAGATTAGTCTCCACGAAAGCCAAATTGCTTACTGAATTACCAAAAGAACCAGTCTAAGAGTTTGGCTCTTCAAACTTCCAAAAGTCAGTAAAATTTTAAAAAGGACCTTTCAAAGAACGCATAGGAATAAAACAATTCGTTTATGTTATAGATTGGATGTTATAGAAGAAAATATCTGTTGTGATTTGGACTAATTTTATTTTTCCTAATAGAATGAAGAGAGGTACACAAATCCATGGATACTTCAAGAAGTGAAGCAATAATTCAATATCACCTTTACTTTTAGAGGGCTATTAAAAGTTGGCCATACAGCAAATGTATGTGGACTAAGACTTATTTAGAGCTATACTTTACCTATCTGATTTCTGCCCGACGAGTAGAACGCATTGACTACAGCCGCTCCACTTATCCACCTATGGGAAACATATGAACTTGTTACAGAAGATCCTTTATAACACATTCAATCCGCTTACCAGAGAAATAAATGTCAACTTTCTGTGTGAAATACGATCAATGAATTGACATTAGCATGCTAGAATTAAGACTCATTGAAAAATATTTCTATTTATTGAAAATTCAATGTATATCCAGGTCTACAATCTGTTACTTCATTTGCATGGATTTTTGTGGAGGCATCCGATGGTACAAAATCCACTACATCCTTTCAGAAACTGTAGGAGGCTAAAATTATAGCGAAATGTGAATAGCTTTATGCTTTGATACTAAATTGGTCCAACAATTCTGGAGCAGTTGAGAACATATGAAACAAAGGCTAGCAAACCTTCAGATTCAAGTAGCTCTAAAGATTTCAATTCTTAGTTCATAATGAGATTCGTTGGCAGTCCAGATATTTTAGCTTGGAACAATGAACTTCAAATTATTGTTCCTTATATCTTGTTTTAAAAATGAAACACTGGGAGAGATGGTGTAGCAGTTAAGAGTAGGAATCGCTTTTTCAGAGAACTAGAGTTCATCTGTCAGCAACCACATCAGGCAGCCTGTGGGCGCCTGTACTCCAGTTTCAGGAGATTTGATGCTTCTGGCCTGTAAGGACACCTGCACCCATGTGTACATACCACATACACACACACACACACACATACACACACACACACACACACACGCAATTAAAAATAAAATAAATCTTTAAAAGCATTTATTTTATAAATACAGCAATATTGAGGAAAGATGCATTTTCTTATGATTGTAAAGTAAAATCCAGGTAGTTTTTAAAATAGAGTTGTCTGTCTGTCAGTCCATACCAAGACTTAGGCTCTACACAGAATCTAGAGTTTGTAAAAAATGTACCCTAAATATAGAAGGCTAGTTTAGAAAGTGAGAATGATTCATAAATGTTACATAAGAGTATATAAATAAATTAAAAACCAAACAAAATAAAACACCGGTCTCATGATAATTTGAGGACTGAAAGACAGGGGCTGTTGCCCTCATCTCTTCCTGCTTAGACAGTAAGGAAGATGCCTGTCAATCATCATATAGTAAGCACGTAAGGAAAACAGAAATATTATTCTAGTCTTAAAGAGCTAATATATATGTCCATTGAAAATGGACACTGCTTGACTTCTGATGACCTCTTCATGTTAGCATTTCCAACACACTTAAGACAATCATGGAGTAATTTGTTAAGGCTTTACTAGTTATTCTGCCTCAGGGCAATAGCCAGTGTGACCATTATTCTCCTCCTAGTAGCAAATCAAAATAGTACAATAATTCATTTTCTGTCAGAGGCATTCTAGTCTCTCCGGTGCCAGGTGAGCAGTACAAAGTCAACACCTTGGCCATAATGTCAGGAACCATTGTGAATGTCAGGTATAAGTGCTAGTGTAGTTTCTTAAAAATAACGGGCAGAGACCAATATGCAGCGACCATCTGAAAATTTCTGTTATTCTTTTGATAACATGACTAAAACTTTACACCTGTTCTTTAGGCAAACATTGAACCAGGAGATGGTGAAGAATAGCTTCCACGTGTCTTTCTGTTAGTTCGTTGCCTATGTTCTTTTAGCACAGGAAAACACTTTAGGCAGGATGGGGCTCACATATCAATCCTCCCTAGTTCCAGCAGAACTGAGCCATGAATATTTTAACGTTTCCTGCAAGTTGATGATTACAAGAAGACGTCTTCTTTGTTTTAATTAAATGCCGCTTGCTTACTACACAATTTATAATGACTCACAAGCAAGGCAAGTATTTGTAAACCCAGGATGCTAGATTAAAATGCAGAAATCAGAGCTATACAGAACAAGTTGATTTTATTTCTGTGACTAACAGAAAAAGATGTCTGTATAGAAAAGGTGGAGACGAGAAAAAGGCGACGCGTTTAGATTGTATTTGCATAGGTTCACACAGGTACCATGATTCAGGTTGAAATGAAGTTCTTTGGAGCTGGTGAAAAGGTCAGAATGGATGATATGTTCAGACAATTCTAAAAAAGCCCCATTGCGTGAGCTGAAAAATATTTTTGGTATATTCTCAACACTTTCATAGCAAATGTGGCAATAAAAAACTCATATATAAAGAGTTTATAATTATTAAAGTTTTTACCAAAATTGGTTATGAATTAGAGCCTAGTCTCAGTGGCTCTAGTGTGAATTTCTTAATTGCAAAGTCTGAGTTGTGGTAATAGCTGAGCATTTTATGTGTAATTATAAAGAATCGTTATAAATTATTTGGCTCTGAAGTAACCAAAAGTCCTAATAGTAAAGTAGAAAAAGTCATAATTCAAAGATGAAATGTTATACTGAGAAGAAAAGGCAGATGCACTTAGTGAATGCTTCCAGACGGCACACCTCAGACATGACTGGAAGACACAGACATAGAAAGATGGACGTCATTCAATATTGCTGGCTTAGGCTTACTGCTTTTGTAAAAATAAACGCCATCCAATTCTACCAAAAGCAATCTATAGATTCAATGCAATCCCCATCAAAATCCCATCAAACTTCTTCACAGACCTTGAGAGAACAATAATCAAGTTTATATGGCAAAACAAAAAACCCAGGATAGCCAAAACAATCTTATACAATAAAAGAACTTCTGGAGGCATTACCATCCCTGACTTCAAACTCTATTATAGAGCTACAGTATTGAAAACAGCTTGGTATTGTCATAAGAACAGAGAAGTCGACCTATGGAATCGAATAGAAGACCCAGATATTAACCCACAAACTTATGAACACCTAATTTTCGACAAGGGAGCTAAAGGTATACAATGGAAGAAGGAAAGCATCTTTAACAAATGGTGCTGGCATAACTGAATGTCAACCTGTAAAAAAATGAAAGTAGATCCATATCTATCACCATGCACAAAAATCAAGTCCAAATGGATTAAAGACATCAACATTAATCCGTCCACTTTGAACCTGATAGAAGAGAAAGTGGGAAGTAGTCTACAAGATTTAGGCACAGGAGGCCTCTTCCTAAGTAGGACCCCAGCAGCACAGACAATAAGAGAAACAATGAATAAATGGGATCTACTGAAACTGAGAAGCTTCTGTAAAGCAAAGGACACTGTCAGTAGGACAAAAAGGCTGCCTTCTGACTGGGAGAAGATCTTCACCAACCCCTCATCAGACAAAGGTCTGATCTCCAAAATATACAAAGAACTCAAGAAACTAGGCACTAAAACTCTAATTAACCCAATTAAAAAATGGGGTACTGAACTTAACAGAGAATTCACAACAGATGAACTTCGAATGGCCAGAAGACACTTAAGGTCATGCTCAACCTCCCTAGCGATCAGGGAAATGCAAATCAAAACCACTTTGAGATACCATCTTACACCTGTCAGAATAGCTAAAGTCAAAAACACCAACGATAGCCTATGCTGGAGAGGATGTGGGGTGAGGGGAACACTCATCCATTGTTGGTGGGAATGCAAACTCGTGCAGCCACTGTGGAAATCAGTGTGGCGGTTTCTCAGGAAACTGGGAGTCAACCTCCCTCAGGACCCAGCAATACCACTCTTGGGAATATACCCTAAAGATTCCCTAACATACTACAAAAGCATTTGTTCAACTATGTTCATAGCTGCACTATTTGTAATAGCCAGATCATGGAAACAACCTAGGTGCCCCTCAATAGAAGAATGGTTAAAAAAGGTGTGGAACATATACACATTAGAGTTTTACTCGGCGGTAAAAAACAATGACATCTTGAATTTTGCATGCAAATGGATGGAAATAGAAAACGCTTTACTGAGTGAGGTAAGCCAGACCCAAAAAGAGGAACACGGTATGTATTCACTCATAAGTGGATTCTAACCATAATTAAAGGTCTTTGAGCCTATTATTCGTGATCCTAGAGAAGCTAAATAAGAAGATGAACCTGATGAAGATTATTTAGCTATCCACCAGGAGGTAGGAAATAGACATGAGTCCCAGGTAACCTCGGGTGCATGGGGGGGTGGGAGGGTCGATGGAGGGGGAGAGGGCTAGAGAAAAGGGAGTAGGGGAGGAACAGGGAAAGCTTGGTGGCCGGGGATGGGGGGGGGAGGGAGGTAGGATGAATATGGGATCAGGGAACAATATATTTCAACTAAGGGAGCCATTTTAGGGTTTACAGGAGACTTGATTATATATGGGATCCCAGGTCCAAGGAGAAATCCCCCAGATTGCTCTCTGGACAGAGGAGAGGGTGCCTGAATCGGCCGTGGCCCATGACCATACTGATGTATATTTTGCTTATCACCATAGATCCTTCGTCTGGCGAAGGACGGCTATGCAGTTGGAGGCCCACCGTGGCCCATGACCATACTGATGTATATTTTGCTTATCACCATAAATCCTTCGTCTGGCGAAGGACGGCTATGCAGTCGGAGGCCCACATTGGAGCACCGGATTGAGCCCCCCGAGGTCCGGAGGGGGAGCGGAAGGAGGAGGAACATGAAAGACGAAATCAGTACTGCGAGGGATGCTATAACCCACTGATACAAGGGAACGGATCTGATGAGAGTTTACCAGGGCCAGTTGGACTGGGACTGAACGAGGACGTGATCTAGCCAGATTCTCGGAATTTGGCCGGATTCTCTGACTGTGGCTGGCCCGGGGTCTTTCTGAAAAGCCATTGACTATGACACTGGGACCTGTTTCCTCTGCATATGCTGGATTTTGGGGATCCAGTCTGTTTGGACGCTCGCCTTCCTGGACCTGGAGGGAGGGGGAGGGAGCTGGAGCTTCCCACAGGGCAGGAAACCCTGACTGCCCTGGGGGATGGAGGGGAAGGAGGGGGGGAGTGGGGGGAGTGAGAGGGTGTTGGGAGGGGGGGCGGAAATGGAAACTTTTATAATTTAATAAAATTTACTAAAAAAAAAATAAATGCCATCTTTTCGTACTTGAAGGCATTTAAGATTGCATTTTGATTAATGTTTGTAACTCTTCAGTAGGGAGAGTTTT